AAAATCATTTAATATGCACAAGGCTTTATCTTTAAAAATTTTTATACACTATGAGTATTCATATATTATCTTAATCCAATTAAATTTATTTTATACCCAGAACTCATAAATATACCTACATTTTATTCACTTTAAAAAACTTTTACAATCAAAATATAATTAACATTAAACTTAATGTCAAAGAGGAACTATGAGTGCAAATATTAAAATTCATAGCCAAAGTCTACAGATACACTAATACGTAACTTCATCAAACAAAGCTCATCCATTATTGCAATGCTAGGTTGCAAAAATCAAAATCAAAAACTAAAAATTATTTTATTTGAAATCTCATAAGAGCACACCACGTAACTGACAAAAAAAAATGCTACTAACATATACATATACATGTACATAAAAAAATCAACAGTGGCGTTTGCATAATATGTAAAATATATTTAAAATAAATTATTTATACAATAACTAACCATATTAAAATTTTTGATAAAATGGTTTTTTGGTTCATAAATTATTAAAAAAAATAATAATAATTATCACTTAAATTGGGATAGAAACCGCCACTGCATCTTTTTGCAAAGCAAGCTATGTCAGCGGGAGCGTATAATAAACTCACATACCATATTTCTAAGTAGTCCAACATCATTTCAATTTTTAATGGACATCGATGCAACTCAACACTGTGAACTCAACATCGACATCAGTAAAAATTCACTTTAATTCAAAATATGCAACCGGAAGCACGATACCATAATCCGCCAAATGTTTTTACCACAACGAATAGTGTTTAATGCACATACATAACCGGGAATGATGCATAGTCTACAACCGCGTTTTTTTTCTTTTTTCTATTTCTATTTCTTTTTGGAGAGATTTTAGTACTTTCGTTTTATAACAGTGCCGGATGTTGTGTCCGTTGTATTTGAAGTTGTTAGCTTGTTTTTGTTGTGGCGGTTGTTATTGTAGTTATTGTTGCTTTTGTTGTCTTTGCTGCCTTTGTTACTATTTTTGTTATTTTGTTTTTGCTGTTTTTGTTTTTATTTTGAAAATTTATTCACATTTGATGGACGGATTTTAGTTAAAGTTTATTACTGCGGATTATATTGAGTTTAGTTTGGATGCATTTTGGAATTTTTAGATTTATTTCATGATGACTTTTTTCTTTATTTCAATTCACTTAATAAAATTTATCTTCCTTCTACTACTGTAGTGGCATTAAGTTATATCATCTCCACTGTATTTACAGGTGCATTTTATACAAAATTAGCATTATTTGTTATTTACTGTGATGGTTATGTTTGCTGTAAAAGTTGCCCATAAAAATTTATATATAAATTTTTATTATTATTTCTCTGTTAAATAAAGCTTTTAAATAATTCAATTAGTGTGAAGTTCTTGTTTTACATTCCAATCCAAAAACAAAAAAAAAAAACATTAAACTTACAAAATAGTTTGTTTATTGAAAATAATTTCAAACGATTTACGGCTTATAAAAATTATTTACTGGATTAGTCAATTTTTAGAGGATTTGAAAGGGAATGATTAAAATTTATTTTTAAAATAAATTTAAATTAACTATAAAAATATATATTTACTATATTTTGAAAAATATTCATTTTATTTAAAGAAATTATTGTTGGAATTAAAATTGCATTAAAAATTAAATGAAACTATAAAATTAATAGTAAAATAATAGCAATTTTACTAATGAAACTGTAAAAAATATTTACTATTTATTATGATCGAAATATAAAAAAAAATATTTACTAATAATAAATAGTAAATATTGTTTATTACTTTACTAGTAATAAATAATAAATATTTTTTGCTATTTTACTAGTAATATATAGCAAATATTTTTGATCATAATAGGTATGTTCTACGAGCTGCTCGTAGTTAGACTCAAGTAAAACACAAGTACAAACTCTTCACTCAGAACAGATTAGTGTAAAATCTGGTGAGAACACCAGTGTCGCGCAAATAAACAATACAAAAATTTAAATTCAAACCAAAACAGCTGATTCACACATCAACACAAATTTTACTTGAAATAAAATGTACGACTAAAGTCTGTGTAGCATTTTCAAATTTCGACAGGGATGTTACGCTCTCTCACATGCTCACATTAACTGGAAAATTTGCCAGTGGAACACACTAATAACTAGGTCTCGTGTAACAGACCTAAAAAATGATCATAAACGCAGATTTTTAGTTCTTATGCATTGAAACTTACTATAGGGCATAAGTTCAGTTAAGTTTTACAATATTAGGTTTATTCATTTTGTAAAGTAAGTAAAGTAAACATGAAAAAACACACTTGTATGTATATGAAATTTTGATAAAATTTTTATTTCAATATATTTTTTAAACATTGCCATTATTACAAAACTAGATCGTTTTAAATTTATTTTCAATGACTTTCCTACACTTAGCTCCCCATTTCTTACCATACTGATAAAGCTGTCATTCTGAAAAATTAATAACTTGATGAAGTTTATATTTTCCACATCTATGTTTTTAATTACATACCAAAATCCAGTAGTCTTCTGATTGTTTCTTACAGATTTTTACTGATCTAAATGTGACAATTTTGTTAACTTATTTACTAAGCGAAAAAAATCTTTATCACTGAAAAAAAATCGATTTAAAAAGCCGCTGTTCTATTCTAACTGGGTGCGTATGTTCTATGATTCCTTATCTGTATTTTAAAGAACCATATGATGCCTAGTATAAGAGTTCTGTATAATATATATCATTGAAACAATGCTATCAAATGTGGACTACGAAATGAATAACCGTTAAATAAGATATTTCATACGTTCATGGTATAACCAAACAACATTACAGAGTATTTAGGAGGAATAATATTTTTAAATATTTCTAAAAATCTGAAATAATTACTATAATCAATGAAGTTCAACTTAATATCTACCATATGCAAATTAAATGTACTTAATTAAATCAAATTTTCCTAAAAACAAAGATTTTGATTGTTTGGGAATCTTCTGTTTCTATTTGCTGCATTACCGATCAATTAGATTTAGTGGAAAAAACTTTTTGGACGATTTCGTTCTTTTTTGTCCAAATCCACGAATGAATATTTTAAGATGCTTGAACTTTTGATAATGATAGACATTTTTCGTATTTTTCTTTTCTTCCTAGTTTTTAGTGCTGTCAGTCTGCTGCTTTTCGCTTGCTATTTATTTTAATAAATATTTGTAACAAATTCAATATTAATTACTACATAAACAAATAAAATGAAAGGACTATTTTCATAATCAATATTAATTCAATCTAAATTAACTAAGTATTACGAGTGTCTTTTTTCCTCTTCCAATATTGACTTATAAAAATATATACAAATACGTAAGTTCACTTAACGGCTATAATAAAGTTATGATTCATTTTAGGTATAAACACTTCAAACTTATTTGATATCTTGCTTAGAATAAAACCAAGATTTTTATCTTTTTGGTTAGAAACAAAATATATGTTCGTTTCACATTACCTATTACGAAAATTCAATAAGCTTAACTTTTGCAGCTTCTACTTAGACAGCTTTGACTGTGTTGTAATTTTTTATATGTAAATTTCAAATGTCTGGTGCACGTGATTTTAATTCCACTCTTCATATAAATTTACATATATTTATTAGATATATTAATACACCGAACTACTTATTTCGAATTAAGTGCTCGCTGTAGTTACTTCTCTTGGATGACCTCACCGAAACTCCCTCCCATATTGACTGCAGATAAAATTTGAAAACTGTATCTATCTCTAGGTTACACATATTGCCTATAAGGCACGACGACGATATAACAGTAGAAGCGAGGGGAGATTGAATGAACTATACCAGCAAACTCAAGCATAACTATCACAGTCCCTTTTCCATCCGTCAATTTTATATATTTGCTATTAATACTTTCAATATATGAATACTTTTTACTACAGAGTTATGTATTATGTTACGTGTAACTTTTTCTCACATCGAAATAAGCATCAAATATTTTCAACAAAAAAAGATGAGTTATAAGCTAAAAATCTATTTTGCCCTGACCTAATAGCTTGGAGGCTTGCATAGTTTTGATAAAACAAAGCTTTATAAATTAAAATCAAACAAGTTTAAATTAAATATTTGGTTTGAATATCGCATTTATGTTAATATCTATTTCGCTACACTCAGATTCAGAAAACTATTTTCACTTCTAACCAGAGAATATTTGCGTACGTTGTGTTCCCTGATGTAACAAAAAATTTTACGTTTACATAATTTCCTGTTTAAATCCTTTGGCTTTTTTAATGTACAAAAAAAAAAAAAGAACGTAAAAAAATCATGTTATGCTTACCATATGCCACTAATTAAGTCCTGATTAATTAAAGTATAAACACACACAAACACATAGAGACGGTTATATTAATCCAAACACAGATTTACCTACACTTACACACACTCATACACACATACATACACATATACACACACACATACACTTACGTTCAAAGTTTCAGATTGCATTTGTTTAAACATCATTAAAACAAAAAATAATGTAAGGCACGAAAAAAATGAGAAGAGAAAAAGTTCTAAAGGGAAATTTTTTACGCCATATTCTTTTGTATTTACAGTTTTATTCGCATGTTGTGCCCAGGATGCGGAAGGAACACGTCGAGTATTACGTGGACGTAGAACGCTAACACGCAGATACTTTAGTAAGTATGAATAAAATGACGCACTGAAGTAGAAATTGAAACATTGCTGCATATTTTCTGCTTCTTTTTTCTCCCCATCTTCCCCTCTTCCTCTTTCCTTTTATATTATTTTCTTTTCTTTTCAATGAAGAATGGAAGATGCAAAAGAAAAAAATTACACCCAAACAAAAATTTTTTTTCCACTTTGATTAGTAGTATAAAATAAAGGCAAAAAATAAATGAAATATCTGCAGAAAGAAGGTATTTTTGCAAAATTAATAAAATTTAAATAAAACGTGGGGCAGAAAATATTGAGCATACTTGCATGGAAGAAAGACTTCACTTCACAGCAAATAAAATCTCGAAAAATATTATAAAAATTTATGCAAATTTAATTGAGCAAAGAGTGAAATAAGAAATAATATTTCTCTTTTTTTTCATATTTATTTTACATGAAACTATGCTCAAAATAAATTATATATCCATATAACACACAAATATATTATTCAAAAAATTTATTTTATTAATTTTATAATTATTATACAAAGGAGAAAAAAAATGTCTAACATAAATTTGACTTTTATTTATCTGCTATTTTCATACTCGACTTCACTTCATTGCTTTGCGAATGGAATTTTAACTTTTAAGCTGGCCTCGCCATTCCCGGTTGGGCGCTAGTGCTGCTCATAGCAGTTAGTGAACTTTTAATTGGCGTCATACTATATTTTGTGCTGCGCAGATTTATACTATCCAAGGAGGTGGAACAGGCGAATACTTATGCTCCAGCTGCAACCCATGAAGCTTGAAGCTTGCAACGCGCGAATAATTTTGCACCGAAAAGTCAAAAAGTTCAAAGACGCAACAATTGCTGCATAAATTATGGCACAATTTTACACCAAATTAAAAACAAAAATATGTTTCACAATATTTTTAAAATATTTTAAATATGCAACATTTAAGTTCAATATTTATAACAATATGCAACTATAATAACAATATGCAACTATGATTTTTTTTTTAAATTTTTTTTTTATTTTTTATATATATTATTTTAAATAAATATTCTGAATTCATTTCACAATATTTCTTATATATTTCAAATAAAAAGTTAGGTTAATGTGGCTGTCGGCCTGGATCACCAGTTCACTTAGACTCTATGGATGCTTTGTTACATCACTGCTTAACCTGAGATCACTGGTTGACCAGTTCACTTAGACTCTATGGATGCTTTGTTACACCACTGCTTAACCTGAGATCACTAACTCCTTGATTTATGGAAGCATTATAGATTTCTATAGGATATTGAATCTCATTAAGAGAGCTAATGTCATGTTTCCCGAAGAAATTAAGAAATTAAGAAATTAAGACTTATAAAGTCTACTACTTCTTATGACGTAGTCTAAACGTTATATGATCTTTGAGATCTGTTGTTCTATTAAGCAACGCTATGCTACAAAAATAATTTACAAGTAACAATAAGTACTAAGTTTGTGCATTGGAGATATTTAAAATCGCGTCTAGCTGAAATATTAGCCCAATAGTTTTCTTCAATGTCATTGTAAATCGGAAATTTTAGTAAGAGAACTAAATGAAACATAATAATATAGCATTAGATTTTGTTCAAACGTAGTCTTAATATCTCTCAGACAGACTATTCCGTGTTATGAAGTGTGAACTAAATTTTTAAAATACTGTATCCTGTTAAATCCTCTTTTGTGTATTGGTTACACATTTGCACGAATTTTTGAAGCAATGCGCCCATTAATGATAAAAGCATGAGATAACTTAAATAGATTAGATTCGCTAATTTATAAATTACTTTTATAAATATTGCTAAAATGCTAAGAACAAACTATTAGTATATTTAATGGGTACATTTACTTACGAAAATCATTGACAATGAATATAAATATATAACGTATGAAAACAGTTAAAGGGTATTGAATGTCAGTTAATATTGTACAATGAATGATCCATTAGTTTAATATATAGGCGGCGTGAGTAGTTGAAATGATCTATTAGTTTTTTTTCTTGTATTTAGTGTAGCTCATTTTTTCGAATAAAATACGGCAGTGGCAGCGCTAGGCGTCAGCAACCTCGACAAATAGTTACCAACTGTCGATTCAAAGCACTTAATGGATATTTTGAACAATTTGAAAAGTATACCAAACGAAGACCTTCTCAAGCATTGTAATGCTTTAGGTTTAATTCGGTCTATTGAACTATATGAGAAACTGCCGTGTTTAAAATCAAACTCATTAGATTCAATCAACAATATGAAGCAACTCGTTCGGTATGTTAAGGAAAATAATTTAAAGGAACTAAATCCAAATGTTTATATAGTCTGCTACTGAAAGAAATTTTTTAAACTTAAAATGGATTAAGCCAAGAGAGACTATCTCCATTGGCAATTCTACCAATTAAAGCGAAAATAGCAGCTGTTGCAAATGGTGACCAAATTTTTAAAAAATTAAGGCTAAAAGTAGGAAAATTCATTTATTTTAATTTATGTTTATTTTAATTTGATTAACTATAGAACGTATAGTGAATGTAAATTATTTGGCGGCCTCACAATTCTGATGTTGCCGACAACCAGAGTTTGTTTAGCTCCGTTACTCCGTTCTTTAATAGAGTAGCACCAAAAAAAACCCACAACAAATAAAGATCAACCGTATCGAAAATCTGAATAAAAATAGTAAGAAATATCAAATAAACACAAGTCTGTTGAACGCAGAAAAACCCAGGAAACGACTTAAAAAAAGGCTAATCCATATAAGAAAATTAAAATTTTGGATAAATATAGAAATGGCCATTACGTCGTTAAATTTAAAAATAGAATTTCCAAAAAATACAAAAGTCAATTTAAAAGAAAAAAGAAATATCAGGGAAATGAATTTTCTTAACATTTTGTTGTTTTTATTTAATTCATTGATGAATAAATAATTTATATTTTATAATATAAATAATTTATAATTTATAAATAATTTATAGTTTAATATAAATACATTACTTATATATAAACTAATGGAAAAATTTTATATTTATATTATATCCACGAGGACGTGAATGTTTTGAAGGTGGGAGGAGTAACATAATCGTATTAATCCGCCTTTCTTTAGTAATTGTAAACTATTTCTATAAATTTGGAGAAACGGTTTAATGGCATAATCAACTCATCGCCTAAAGTAGCATGTTTTCTAAACTAATGTATTTTTTGTATAATGAAAATAAAAAAGATTTTTATTTCAACAATCAAGTTGTAAAGACGTATTTAATTTAAAATACATTACTAGTATATTAACCATTTCGTATGCCATTAGTATTGTGTCAAATAATCATTGTTTTCGAAAAACAGTATGAATTTTTTTTTTTTAATTTTGCAAGCGCTACTCAAAAAATCTTAACATAAGCATACATAAGTAACTAAGCCATTTTGGCTATCCGTTAAAACTTGTAGTAATATTGACTTAGCTACTTAGTCAAAGCCAATTTGCCAGTTTTCTGTTAAATGCTCATTTAAAATTACTAGTTTTAAATTTTGATTAAAATGCAAGACTAAGATTTTACACTATATTGAAAAGGAAGTAGCTCCTATCATACAAGATAATTTAGTTTAAAGAAGTTAATATACTAACTGAAATGAATTTGGTGAGTCGAATGCAGTAAATTTTATATTGTTAATATCTTTACTTTTTCTCTTCTTTATCCACCACTGTAATTATCCACAAAAAAAAACAACAATCGTACTCACTTAAGTATATACAACTTTTTGCACATCAATTATAAAAATAAAAACTTGCCTAAAAATATGCTATGTAAATTTTTGCTGTAATTACTGAGTAAATTTATCTAATAAATACTCTTAAAATAACTTTAAAAAGCAATTGCTTAATAATTAAATTATAGTTTATGTTTTAAAGAAAATAATGGTAAAATTTTGGATACTAAACCACCAAGAAATTTTTGGTTAAAAATTTATGGCTCAGCAATTTAAAATTTCTTACAACTAAAGTCCTTATAAGCTTCTAACAATGGCACAAAACAGCCTCTAAACCGATTCAAACTTTGTTCATCCACTTCAAAATAAGCTCGTAGTGCAGTTGTAAGCCGATAGATGAACGTACTACCAAAGCTGCTGTGAATCAAATTTGTTGCATTTATTTCCAGGCACCATAACTGTAAAACTAAGCATATATTGCGCTGAAATTTGCTGAAATCTACTTCAAAGGAAAAGTATGCACTTTACTATTGTAAGGCAGTTGAGATTTTTTCTAGGGATATATTATGGGCGGGCAACAAAATATGAGCAACATTCATATTGCAAAATAGCAAATCTAGTTAAAATACATGAATCTTCATAAATATTTGTTGAATGAGTATTTGTTCATGTACATGAAGTTTTAAATTGAGTACAAAATCGCTATTTTGTGGTTTGTGAATTATTTGCGTATAAATACTACAATATGTATTAAGTAGAAGTTCAAGTAAGTCAACTTCTGCGAAATAAATAAAGATATTTTAAGATTTAAATGTACAGTACATTTAAAAAATAATTTATCGGACTTTTATATCTTTTAATATATTCGTTATCGGAAGACGATTATATAGAGTACTATAATTAAAAATAGATGAAATAAAATCGTTTTAGTTAAATTAACAATTAAATTAAGTTGAAGAACTCGTTACTGATTTGCTGAAATACCGCTTATAAATAAAAAATAAATAGATAAGTGACATCTGTCTTTATTTCGTAAAAATACTGCTTTGAATTCACTTTGTTTTTTATTATTTTTATTTCATGTTATTTAGTATTATTTTAAAACATTTTATTTTATTTAATTTTACTTTTTTGCTGTCTTATTTTTATTGGTTTTTTTTATTTATTTTATTTTATTTTATTTTACTTTCATATTTTATTTTCTTCCATAAAATTTTATTTTTCATTATTTCATTTAATTTTTAAAAAAAAACAATAAAATATTTGAGACAAATGAATAAAATAAATAAAAAAAAAAATAAATTGTATACTTTATTAATAAAAATAATTAATAAATATAAAAAAAAATATTTTTATAATTTTATGTGTTCAATAAACGACCTAAGCCCAGTAATAATTCAAAACGTATGGAAAATTGGACGTTATAACAATTTATTACATATTATGTTATTGTATTCTATTTTTTTTTTCATAAATTATGCTGATGCCTTCACAAAGTTGCAACAAAATTAATTGTGAAAAATATGATTGATGAAATATTTTCATAATGTAAATCACAAATCAGTACTGTTTTTAAAAAAGAATTATTAAGCAATTATTTATGAACAAATGCTTCTATTTACGCATTAAGACATAATCAACATGAAAGTAACTTCAAGCTGCATGTAGTAACTTTTATTTATGAAATCGGCAATATACACGCGGTATATACACATAAGATACTCTCTTATTTTTTTTAAATTAAAATTTATAAATGAGTGGAATAAAATAAAGAAATGAATTTTTATGTATTCTAATTATTTATATTCTTTGCAATATAATTGTATGTTCTTATTAACTCTTAAAACTGTTTACACGATTAGGATAGACAGGATTATTAATATACGGTTAGTTCTCAATTATAGGAAACGAAGATTTCATGCAAAGAAAGTTTTTGTTATTTCAAAGTCATAGGATACGATGCACCCAAAGTATAGTATTATATAGTAATTCAAAACTCAATTTTGTGAAGAAAATAATTGAAAATGATATATCTAAAACTTACAAGTTAAATAAGATAAGGTACGCGAAGAGTTTTCTTACTGTAGATGGAGCCAAGACAGTGATAAATGGGCCGAAGTTTAAATCTCAGAATAGCGACCTAAAATACAACAATATTGCTTGATTTAATCTTTAATAACAGATAACTATCAAAAGCTAAGAATAGCCA